CTGTTGTATAGAGAAAACCAGACTTGTTTTGGCCTGATTGTAATTTTGTTTAAATGTTACTGCCTACATTCATTAGCAACTCTTCAGGGTTTTTTTGGTGCATGAAAAACAATCCACTAGTACATCTCTCCTTCCAGGAATACCTTATTTGTTCTGGTTGAATGTGCACTAGGCTCCTTCTAGATGAAAACAGATGAAAATCTCCAAAATAGGAGCTTACAGTCTGTGCATGTTTGCTGCTAACGTCCTTAATGTTAGCACTCAGACTTTAGATGGTAGTAGCTACCCATATTTGTTTTGATTGCCCCATATTCCTGTTGATTAAATGATGGGGAGATGTTATTTCCATGTAACAAAACGGCTGTTTCTTCCCTCTGCAACTCTAATTTGCAAAAAAATTTCTTCACTGCACTGATGTTTTGTGTTTTCCCTTACAAGTTAATCTCTGCACAAGCATTTTTAATTTGATAGTTTTTATCTAAGAGGAATATGTTCCTCCAGTATTTCGTGAGAAAATACTGGTGTAAATATTAATTTCAGAGAGTGATGAGGAAAAGAATCAACATTTTAGTTGTAGTGATAACAGCCTTAATTTTTCCCTTGGATGAATTTCCTTAGATGGGAAGTGCTGGAAAATTGATTTCTTATTGATTTCATGATTATTTTTTTCCAGCACTGCAAAAGGCCTTTTTGTTAAAGGTCATTTTTACCCTCTTCTTTCTTCCTGTTTGTGTTTGGACTCTCTTAAGGGAAAATGAGCAGTCTTTCAAAGAAAAAGACAAGTCTGCCATTGTTACTGCCAGCAGATTATAATATAATGCCACCATTTCCCATTCCCCACCAACAAGGATATGTTTAGAGTACAGTTCTAATTAGAAAGAAGCACTGATGAGCAAGGCTTAGCATGATTTATGTTTTGGGTAGTGCAGAGGTTTTGGCAAAGATTGCTTTCTACTGTTTTTTGACCTGTGATAATAACTTAATGTATTTGAAGGGTGCATATTTACACATTGCCTTTGGTTCTGCTCATGAAAAATGTCTGTGCTTTACACTGAGCAATTACTGTTACTGGTGCTGCTCTTTGGATTTGTATCAGCTGCAGGCACTGTCATTGAGACCACTGCAGGCAAAAGCTCTTTAGGAAGAAATGCTTATAGGTTGGCTTAATAAAGGAGTTCATTAATAAGATTTGAGATTTTACACAATTTCATATTCTTTTCAGAAGATCTGTCTTGTAACTCCAGCTCTTCTGTTCCTTTGGGGAAGATTCTTAAGCCTGAAGTCGAAACAGGCACTCTTGATACCTTCCTGGTTGACATTTCAAATATTGGGTGGTAAATACCCATATTTTAAGAGGATTTAATTATTTTTAGCTCTTTTTTCCCCTCTACATTTCTGTTGTAAGCACAAACTGTACAGCATGCTTGTCACCTTTTGATCAGACTAAATCTGGGAAGTGTTAGTTTTCTAGGTTATCCTGAAAAGGAGAATAATGAATAACAGAAAATGCTTCTGTTCATGGGTGAAGATAGGATCTTGTTTGGGCTTTTGGTTTTTGGAGTGGGAGAGGAAATACAACTTTGCCAGTAAACTTTTGATATGAGTACCTTTTGGAAAAGCTATTTATAGATTTATGTAATTGGAATAGACACTGTCATCCATGTGAAGTATAATGACTTTAAATGTCAAAATAAAAGCTTTTAGGAGTATGTGAAAGATGCTGAAAAACTAGCAGGAAAAATGCAATTAAAAGATTCTTACAAAGGTGTAATTTTTCCTGTAGTATATAGAAAGAAATCCATGCTTATACTTGGTACAATTATGTGTTTAAGTACAGGATATATCTGCGTATATGCTCTGTTTTCCTTATATATATATGTAAAACTGTAGTTATTTAAGTTAGCATTATATTTTGCAGTACTAAAACATACCAGATGGCCAAGAATATTTCACCTAAATACCAAATAAAGTTGAAGAAAACATTTACTGAAGGCACAAGAGGTCTGATTCAGAAAGAAAATACTCAAGTAGTGTGGATTTAATTTAAAATGTACAACATTCTGCCTTGGCTGACCTTATTTGTAACCTCCTGAAAGAGAAAGTTTTCAAATACTGTAAGACTAAGAGCAAATACTGTCAGACCTAATTCAGGGAAAGCTCTGAAACATATTTCAGCTGCCCATGCCTAATTGCTACTTCGAGGGAATTGTGCACAGTAAACATATTTTGGAATTTGAGTCTCTTCTCTCTTAACAGTAAAAGGCATTGCGAGCAAACTTGTTCTGTTTTTGGAGCATCTTGCACATATTTATGTTGGTTTTAGTGTAAACATTTGGTTTATAACTGTAAATATTAGGAAAAGGCTCTTTACACTGAGTGTGGTGAGGCACAGGTTGCCCAGAGAAGCTGTGGGTGTCACATCCTTGGAAGTGTTCAAAACCAGGTTCAGTTGAGGGCCTGATCAACCTGGTCTGGTGAGGTGTGTCCCTGCCCGTGGCAGGGATGTTGGAACTAGCTGATCTTTAAGGTCTTCTCCAACCCAAACCATTCTATGGAATACAGCAATAAAAAGGATTTGATCTATTTAAGCAGATTATAGTAATTGTAACAACACAAGTTGATGATTTTAATTCTAAATGACCAGAGTCCTACATATAAACTGCAAACCACATATCTTTCCATTCAAGGCTAAGAGACACCTTCAACAATACTGTAATGCCAGGCTTAATTTCAGTCGTTGTCAACTTACTAACAGAAAGTGATGAACAGTAATGAGTTCTGGGCAAAAAATTCTTGGGAAGAGAAGTGCTAATACTAGAGACACTTCAGTCTGATATAGCATGGACCTTTCCCAATTTTTGTTTTTGTTTGCTGTGCATCTCATGAAAGGTCTTCCTATTTCAAATTTACTTTGTTCTGTTGTCTTCAAAAAGTCATGGAAACACCATGACTTCTAAGTAGTCTGTTTTCCTGTTTTCATGATCAACCTTTTTTAGTAAAATAGTTAATGTAAATGTGAATAATAGGACTGACTGCTTAAGAGTGTTCCAGTCACTCCTTAGTGGCAAAGCTTTCCCATCATGTTAGAAGGTCAGTCCTCTGATTTCATTTGTTGCCACTGCTAGATGTGCACTGATTGAAGGACGTGTGGAAGCATGTCTTAGGGATGGCTGCTTCACAGCTGGGGGAGTCTGAGAGGAGACCAAATGTCATGTAAATGTTCTGGAACAGAGCAAAGAAGTTGACTCAGGCAGGTTCTGCTGTTGATCAAAGTCTGTATTGTTAACAGATGTTTGTGTATTGCATCAGTAAGTAATAAAATGGTTGTTTGGTCTAACTGCCAGGAGGCAGTGGTTTTGGGGGTTAGTCTGTGGCTTATCGAGAAAAATCCATATCTGATGGGCAACAAAATGCTAAAAACATTTAATCTTTAGTTTCGGGGCAGTGAATTACTGAAAGAAAATGCATTTCCTTTTCAAGTGGGACTGTTTATCTATGGATCTCCATGCAACAGATGACTAGAATCTTAGTTTCTTCTTCCAGACCAATGAATGGACTCACTCATTTGTGCTGGCAAATATTCATAGACACCAGTTTCCTCATCACTGCTGGGAAACAATCGTGCACTGATCTAACAGTGGTGAAGCCATAGTGCTGGGCAGATTGCCTGCTTTTCCCATAAGCAGTTTCAAGCGACTGAAAAACTTGTTAAAAATTCGTAGGAAATTCAGTTTCCTGTCAGTTATTTTGAGGATGTCACTGGCTTCCCCTGTAGAAAGCTTTGCTTACCATGCCAAAGAAGCTGTCAGATTCCCATCATTGGAGATGTTTGCTACTAGAGTTGGGCAATCCATCATTTGTCATCCCGATTTTAATTGATACTGCTGGTTGGTTTTGTTTCCTGTCGTTGATGAAAGATTCTTAAAGGTTCTTTCTCCTGGAAATGGTTCTTTCATGAGATTTTATCCTTACGTTGCTAGGGTTTGATACACTTGTTCAGAAAACACCATATATATGATATGATGCCTAATTTTAATTTCTCTGGGTCCTCTAGTCTTCAAAGTGTCTTCATTAGGTTATTCTTATCTGGAAAAACTGGACAAGATACCCCTAAATATCCATTGACGTATTTGGCATATTTGGATAGGATTTGGATATCAGTATTTCTTAGGAATCAATACAAAGGATGTGCCATTTCTACTTTTCCTGTGTTTAGCTTAGGTGTATTATTGGACAAAACAGTAAATTGATGAGAGTTTTTTGGGTTTCTGTGGTTCATCCTTCTCTGGGAAAACACAGCATGACTATCACTTGTTCTTACCTTAAATTTGTCTTGTAGCTGGAGTTAGTAGTTCATTCAAATTGGTCGTCAAATACAGTGCTGTTTTGGGAAGAGTGTTACTACAGTGTATACCTAAATTGTGTGCAGAATGTGGAGAGGAATTAGAAGTCTTTACTTGTATTTCCTTAATGGCTGCTAAAATCTCTCAAATTGAAGAGTTTGCATAGGGCATTTAAAGTAGTGAAACCATCATTCTTACTAGTCTTATCTCTAGGGAGCATCTTTCCTGTCTGTAGTCTACATAGAATATTGAATTTATTTTCCAGAAATAAGTCAGCTACCGAAGTCAGTTACTTAATATTTACTCAGATGTTTTGATTCCTGAGATGCTTCTCAGTTTTCTTGAAGATTGATAGCTCTTAAACTCAGGATCATGGAGGCATGAAATGTTTGCATTGTCTTTGCACAAGCCATCGGTAACTAAAACCAAATCTTTTTGAAGCACATCACTAATAGTTAAAACACCTTCGAAGAAATTATGGTCCTAGATTTGTAGATGGAAATAGTCTCTACTGATATTAAGATCTTGCCATTTTGTGGTGTGTGCATGTCAAATGCATTTCAGGAATTTACTGTCTTTCCTGTCTAGAACTAAGCTACTTCTTTGTTTCTGGAGTGTATTTATGGTTAATATTATCTTTCTTCTATATCATTTCAGGAGTACGATGATGGTTATGGGGCTGCTTACGATGAACAAAGCTATGATTCCTATGATAACAGCTATAGCACTCAAGCACAAAGGTAAGCTTCCAAATCAGCTCTAACTGCATTTGAGATATTCTATGGTTGGCAGGTTAGTTTTACTTGAAGATGAAATTCAAAGGGTCCTTTTAAGAGCAAAAATTTTGAGAGGCTTTTTGGAAATAACCCCCAGTGTTGTTTGTCTTCAGTATCACATGTTACGTTTCTGAGTAGTTGAGAAGAAACAGAACTGAGAATTTGAAACAGTTTTTATGATGCCAAATCATAAATCAGGAAGTTTTTGAAAGTTCAGGAAATTCAGGAAAATATAATTCAGATTCATTTTGGATGGAGGAGACGACAAGAAGGGGAGAGGAGTAAAACAAACTTGAAAAGTTATTAAATCATCTGAAACACAAAACCTGAAACAAAAAAAAAACCATAAAGCAAAAGGTTTATCGGGTTATATGCATTAAAATTAGCATGGGAACACCTAGATCCCTCCCCAGGGGGTGAATTCTTTGTGTCTGATGTAACACTGGGGTATGCACAGTCTTATGATGGAAAGTTCCCAAAAAGAGTTGGTGGTGCTTTGTGGTCCCTGATGCTTTCAATCCCTTTGATGCTCTTCCTTGACCCTGCTACTGTGCTTGTGCTGTATGTTGTGTGGTCACCATGGACCTGAACAGGAAAATTGGCTCCAAGCAGGTGCTGCCCTACCTTTGTTTGGCCCCCAGGCACATCCTGTTCTATCTTGCCCACTTGAATGGTCATCAGGAGCAATGTTTTAACTCCTCACTGTCCAGGCTTCTGCAGGCAAAAAAAGTTAAAATGGTTGAAACAACAATCTTCAGAGATATTTAAAATAAAATAGTAGAGTTTTGCATTACTGCTTTGGTTATTTGGGTTGATGAGTGTCAAACTTCACCCACTGGAAGACGATGGCAGTAGGAGAGGGAGATGTTGGTAGGTATGTAGATGCTGATAAATAGATGCTCCTTAGATTGTTTTACCTTCTGCTAAATGTGTAAGATGTACAATGCAGCCTTATCTGAAATAGTACAGAACTGTTCACAGCAAAATTGAGGAAAGCTGTTTACACCTGGCATCTGCTTTGCTGTAGCATTGTCACACCCAAGTTCAATTTTGTTGTGTAAATGAATATTTTTGTGTTCAGCAACTTAGGCAGTGTGAAAAAGAGTAGTGGAAAGTTCAAGTGTCATTATTGTTGAGAACTGAAAGAACGAAATAACCTTTTTTCTGATAATACATGGCTCCTACAGAGTCTGGTAAGCTACTGAAAATTGGTAAAAATAATGAGACTTAAGAAACCAGCAGTGTAGGACCTCCAAAATATGAGACTCTGTAGAGTGTTACATTTTGAGAGCAACTGCTGGTAATGGATTTATTTTTTTTCCCAGAAGAAAATTGCCAGAGTAGTCCTCAACTTTTATGTTGGTAATTCTGTTCTGGTTTACTGCTTCTAGTGTTGGTAAACGGGTTTATTGCACGCAAACATTTGGACTTCATTACAAAGTCATTTGCCTGAGCCAAAACCAAACATTACTTGGATTTGATTTTATTTTTCCAAGTTAAGAAGACTTTCACTAAGATATCCTTCCCTTGAAGTAAAATCAGGAAGAAAGCAAATTTCCCCAGAAATTAAATTGGTCTTGTAAAGCTTTCATACATAAGAATATGTATAATGTTCTTAGGTATATGTGCATGTCCTTAGCTGTCTAGAAGGAGATACTTATAAAATGACTGTGTATTTTGTCTGTAGTTTCAAAATAGATAGTTAGGTTGCATATAGATTGAAAATAGTTACTTAACTTTTTTCCCCTAATTTTATGAAGCATGCCGTTGTAAAAGAAAACAAGAAATAAGTCACTTGCACATTTCCCTAGTATATCAACACTCATTTTCTGGCATATTTTCCAGCTTGGCAAAAAGATTTTTAGGAGAGTATTGGCAAGCAAAAGCTAATGACTATAAACAGCCATCTGAGCTACCTAGACCAGCATTTCTATCTTAAATCTGAATATCAAATAGTAGCCCATATTGCAAAATGACGTTATGTAACCACTATGAGATGCTTATCATATTTAGGTGCATTGCAATGTCCTTACTACATAGGAAATTATGGAAAAGTGCATTGTTTTCATAGTTTATCCTTATATCATTCTCAATATTTTGCCCTCATAAAGCATGGAAAGAAATTGCACATTTGCACATTCATGTGTTTAAAATGCATCATTTAGTGGCTAGCATGTGGAAATAACTTCTTTTCTTTTCTAAGTTGAAAGTAGTAATATTGAAGTAATAGTATTTTGAATGTGTCTTGTGGTACTGATTTGTCTGGAATATTATGCTATTAATGATACTGTATATTAAAGAGGAAACTTGAGAAATAGCTAGTAAACCAAGAATGACTTTGCTCATTAAATTATTTGCAGTAGTTTTTAGTATATAACCAAGTTTGATTGCAGGAACACTGTAATGTTTGCAAGTGTGCATAGTAGGATATGGTGTAGACAGTTGAAAGATTAATTTCTGGTTTTAAGGTTTTGCTTATTTTAGTGATTCCTCTCTTAAACATGGAAACTTTCAATAGAATTGGAAATATCTGTAGATATTTTGGAGATCTGTAAATTCTTGCACAACAGCACATCTTTTGCTGTTGGTGCACAGGAGTACATTCTCCAAATCAGACCATTCAGTACAGCACTCTCTATTGCTTTTTATTTTGACTTTTCAAGAGTTTTTCCCAGAAATGGCCAAATCTGAAATGGACTAGGATGACTGACATGTTCAGATATGAAAAATAGAAATGTGTATTTGTGTGTTAAGGTAGTTGAGACTTTGCTTGCTGAGCAAATAATAATTCTTTTCTGTATATTAACTGCTTGCTGATACCAAATTGGGAGTGGTTACAAGTTTAATGGCACTTAATTTGACATTGGGTGACACTATCCTTTCTCATACTTGGCCATCTTGGTGCTGTTCAAAGCGATCACAGCACTAACAGGGAGAGAAAAATAAGGGTTTTCTGAGTTCTCATCTATCTTAATGCCCTGTAATCCTATAAAAAAGGTTGTTTTCCTTTAGAATGTTTTATTATACACAGTTGTTTGTTCATGTAACAAAGCTCCAAATAGTGCTTCAGGATGTCTTCTAACAGAATTCCTTTTTATGGTCAAAAAGACTTAAAATATCCCTTGGAGCTGTACTGAGCTTGACTATATATCTTAACTGATATTTAGAAGAGATGTGAATAAATTATATGCATAGTGTTTTGCAGAGGGATTATTAGGTGATATTTTTATCTGTACTGTGAGTGGTTAATCAACTGGCCTGCTTAGTCTTACTTTTTTTTAAAGAAAAAGCCATCTCAAATTAACAAAATATTTCTCAATTTCTGAGAATCCAAGGCTAGCAAGCACTTCATAGATCATAAAATGGTTTGTGTTGGAAGGTATCTTAAAGATGATCTAGTTTCAACCTCCCTACCATGGGCAGGGACACTGCTAGACCAGGTTGCACCAAGCTCCATCCATCTTAAAATCATAGTATTTAAGGTTTGGAAAGGACCTTACAGATCATCTAGTCCCAACCCCCCCTGCCACGGGCAGGGACACCTCCTCACTAGATCAGGTTGCTCAAGGCTCATCCAGCCTGGCCTTGAACACCACCAGGGTTGGGCAGGTACCATGTCCCTGGGCAACCTGTGCCAGTGTCTCACAACCCTTAGAGTAGAAAGCTTTTTCTCACATCAAACCTAGACTTTCCCTCCTTCATTTTGAACCCATTACCCCTTGTCCTATCACTGCAGTTCCTAATAAAGAGTCCCTCTCCAGCTCCCTTGTAGGCCCTTCAGATACTGAAAAGTTGCTCTGAGGTCTCCACACAATCTTCTCTTCTCCAGGCTGAACAGCCCCAACTTCCTCAGCCTGTCCTCATAGGGGATATGCACTAGTCCTCTTATCAGCTTTGTGGACCTTCTCTGGACTAGCTCCAACAGTTCCATCTTGTTATGTTGAGGACACCAGAACTGCACACAGTATTTCAGGTGAGGTCTCACAAGGGCCTTGAACACTACCAGGGATGAGTCATCTACTGCTTCTCTGGACAACCTGTTCCAGTGCCCCTCCACCCTCAGAATAAATAGTTTCTTCTTAATAGCCAATCCAAATCTGTTAGTTTAAAACTGTCCCCTCTTGTCCTATCACTAGATGCCCATGATACACAGTTAAGATTTAGTATATGATATGCAGTCAAGGGGATGTCATGCAGTCAGGAATTCCTTCATGAAATTCCTTCTGTATGTGTATGTAATGATTGACATGTGCAGTTGTGTGCCAAAAACCTTGTCAAGCTCTTGTGCTAAAATATGTATTGCAAGTGTGAAAGCCAAACTCCTGACTCCTGATGCTGATGCTGTTTATATCAGATGCATGTAGACTTGTCAGTGTCCCTCACCAACACATATGCATCCTTAAACAACTTAGCTCACTATTAAAGGACTTCCAAACCTGTCTGTATTGGATTTATTGCAGAAAGTAGTGGGTGTTTTAATGGCCTGATGTTAATGCTAGTCCAATTTTATTATGAAAATTCACATAATAGTATTGTGGAAGAAGCAGGAGCATTTTGTTGGGTCTTCATTCAAAATTGTAGCTCAGTTTAAACATTTTCAGCATGAAGTAAAAAAATCTAGTTACTTTAAATCTCTCAAATCTGTTTCAAATTGAGCCAAAGTGCTTTTGTCCCTTAGTGACTCCATACATGATCTGCACAAGTGTTTGTGAAGACAATAATATGGCAAAGGGAAATGGATGCTAATAAATCAATTGTCACTGTCAGCTCACTGTTTAATGTTCTCTAGAATGCATAAGATTTATCACTGAGGAATGGTAGAATAATGGTAGTGTATGGAAACAAAGTCCACCAGGGAGATGTACTACATCATTCGGATTTAGCACTGCCATCTGCTTAATAGCATTGAGATGACTACAGAGGTACTTATGATCAACCATTCATAGCAGTGACAGATGCTGCAG